CAGTTTTGCGTGCAATGCCTGGTCAAGGTCTGTGAGAATCCGCTCCGCAAATTTGACACAGGAAGTAACATGATACTGTGAAAGTTTCACAGCTAACTCATTCACAGAAATTATATATATATATATGTATGCATATAAAGAACTTCATTGCCACTATTCCCACATCTCCTGTTCACTAAAATCTTGCAGAAGAAATAAAAGAAAAAACTTAAATTTGCATAGATTTTTCTCGTCATACGAACATAAATCCCATGTGGTACTCACTAATTTGACCGAACTGGGTTGGTGAGGTGTGATTCATTTATTGCATTGAAATGAAAAATGACAGCCTGTGTGTGTTCGAACACCAATCGGACTGTTCGCGGTATTCCCCAAATGTGATAGAACTAATTAGTGAGTAAAAAAAATGCCGAGGTTAGGCGGTTTGCAACGGGCGATAGCTGATTAGAGTGCTCACTCACTCATCGCTGATGCGACAATTGGGTTCTGATCTCAAAATGATCCGCCACTGAACTGTACATCTCCCTTGCAAATCAATTAATTACAAATGTGATAGAATCGTGTTTGAGGTCAGTCATCGAATTCACCTGGTACAGACAGCTGTCAGCTCTGACTTTCACCGGTACCTATTGGAAACCCACCTGCTCCGATCACCAAATCTGGAGTACAAAGAAAACCTGAATTACTTTCCCCGGCAAAAACAAAAAAACAGATCTAAAGTCCATTTCTGCTGGTCTACATGCATGTATTGTTTGAAGAAAAAAACGATGATCATATAGGTGGTAGAGTATCAACGACGAGGATCAAAGCTTTTGATTTGGGATGACCTGGAGCGACGGAACACTCTCCAGCTCACTAGAGTGTGTTTACCATCTGGTGGCATCAAACTGACTAGATTATGTGACCGTGACTGGAATTTGACAGTGGACATGTGCTGTGACAAAAGATGGGTGAGATAGAGAATGTATCTGACGAGTTTGTACAGTAAAGTTTTCCACTTATCTAAAACGGAACGCAGCAAAAAAGGCAATGTGTGTCGATTTGATCGATCCAAACGATGATACATCATAGAGTCGAAACCGTAGAGAGAGAGAGAGAGAAGAGAGTAGTAGTAGTAGTAGTAGCAGTGGTAGTAGTAGTAGTAGTAGTAGTAGTAATGTGACGAGTAATTTTCCGCACTTCCATTGATCATTACTCATAATCAAATCTGTACGAGTAATCTATTTTCTCAAAGAAATGACTTTATTCTGATCCAATATTATGCAATTATGACAAACCGGTAGAGATAAGTTTTTTTTTAGATATGTGCTATCGGATGAGTTTGTTGTCCATCTCTCGAGTGGCATCAAATCGGACAGATAGAAACAAACTTACTTTGGAAAACGATGGAGCAATTCGAGTACCCAATTCCATGGCACATAGGTTGCGTTCAATGCCAACACGTTCAGCCGCGGAAAGACCGTGGTAAGTCCCAGTAGATTTGCGTCCAGTGCCAACTGAATTGGCGGGCAGGGCTGTTACAGCCGGTGGAATCGGCGGAACCGTGAATGAACAAGGAGGAGTTACGGGACAGGAAGAGACAGATTTGTCACTAAGAGGAATCGGAGAAGTGGGGAAAGGCACTAATTGGTTCTCGACTCTATTCCCCACATTTTATTGATTTTCTAATCGCTTCGTTCTAAAACAGATTTAAGGATTCATAGAACACGACTGAGGCCGGTGGCTCTGCTATCATCATCATCATCAGACCGACTGTAGGATGTCCATCCTGCATCTGGGTAATTAATTTGACAGAAGTCTTCTGTTCAATAACTTTCTCAGCAGAAGCTGGTGGGCGAGGGAACTTCTCCAAGGCTAAATGCATGGACCACTCGAGTAATTGGTATGAATGTGTTCTGCATGATTCCAATTCAATACGTGTGAAGTGTACCATGACCGGTCGATGCGCCACACACACACACACACACAGCCCGCGTTTCATCCACCACTCATTCACTCACAACCTTAGATGCACTACTCACAGTACAACTGTTTGTCTTTGTTGAAAATTATCAGTCGTGCATGATCACCACTGAATCCACCGGGATTAGAACACAGGCACCAGGGAGCGCCGTTCGATGTGTTGACCTTCATCAACCGGCTCGATACTACACATATTCGAGTACAGTAATTCCCGCGCGTTGCAGTGTGTTGTTGTTCAGTGACATGTTGACTCCGTGCGATAAAACCAAGTCCCAGAAACAAAGGCATATCCGCCAAACTGCCGATTAAAAAAAGAGTTCTATCGGTTCAAAAGTCAGCGAGTTTGTCCAATTTGTCTCATTCTCCTACCTGAGGCAGCTCTATACTTGACAGGGTAATCACAAACCATCCCATAACTTTGTTTTCTCTCAAACTAATGGCCCCAGTCACTGCCAGTGATCATTGTGTTCTCCTCTTAAGACCAAAGATATACTCTCGTTCTGCCTATCCAACATTCATACGATCAAACCAGATAAGGTTTCATTTCCGTAACTTTTCATTAACACGTATTTCTCTTCTCTGTCGTTTCATAACGGTTGCCAAATCTTGGTTTGCTTCTTATTGATCACTTCTTAACTGTGTCAGTCTTTTCACCGAAATGATTAAATCGATTTTCCATTTTTTGCTGTCCCATGGAAACGCTGTTTGTTTGCAACGGAACAATTGCATCTCCTCAATTGAACTCACTACGAAGGCAAAAGGAACGATCCCATAAATCTTACAATCTATCTGCTGTAAAGTACTACTCTAGCTTGATTAAGGCTGAGATAACACGTGTAAACAAGACGTTCGCTTCCCAAATCCTGCAAACGAGAAACACATGGCTGCTATGGCAAGGAATACGTCTTCTCTGCGGACAAAGAAGGAAAAAACGTGAACAGTGATGTCGATGTAAATAACCTTGACGCTGCATTTCTTCGTCCGTCTAACGATAACCAGTTTCTCTCTTTCCCATGTGAGGTTTCCAATTCTGATCTGTTCCCTTTTTCCAATGATGGCATACTAACCCAACAGATCCACTTTGGATGTTGTGTCTACTCTGGTACATTTTATAAGCAAGTCATTGAACAACTCTGCCAAATCTGTTCGTTGCGTTTTTATCGATTATTCGTCTGTTTTTGATTCTGTGTCTCGGTCATCCCTCCTTTTTAAGCTGCAATCTTTTGGCTTTCTGATAATTTCACCGAAAGAATCCAGTGCACAAAGGTGGTCAGGAAGACCTCATGTTCTCTAGACAATAATTCTGGTGTGCTTCAAGGTGCTGTCCTCTCTCCGCATCTTTTCTCTGCTTTCATTAGTGATCTTTCAGTTCCCCACCCTGTATGCTGACGATGTCGTTTTATGTCTGACCATTTCTTCTTCTTCGGACTTGTCCTCCACTGAAAATCTGTCCCGAATCGAGCAGTTTTCAAACCAATCTGGCCTTAATCTTGACACATCTAAGCGCATGGAGTGCATTTGTAGTTCTTCCCACTCTAAATTCCCGTCAGACTCTGTAACCCTTAATTGTAACCTTTTTTCCGGAGTGACCTCAGCCAAATTCCTGGGTGCTACTATCGATAATAATCTTCGATGGTCGACACACATTCAGAACTGTATGGAAAAAATTGGGTGCCTCTCCTTTCAGCTCCGAAAGCTCAGACAATTTCGCACTCCCCAACAAGTTTTGTTCTTTTTTGTTAAACAATGCGTTCTTCCTATTTTACTTCACTACTCCCCTGTAGTGTTTCCCGGTCTATTGAAACAAGACTTTAAAACTATCCGTTGTGGATTGATGAAAATAAGCCACACATCTTTGATTTCTGCCGAATCATTAATCACAGAACTTATGAATGGTCATATGAAGTCTTGGGTGACCTTTGCCAATAAGATTTTAAACAATCCCTCCTATCCTTTGCATTTTGACTTATCTTCTTGTCGCTCCCACTCGATCACTCGTTCCCCTAATCGGTACCTACCCTCTCGAATGAACATTTATAAAAACTCCACCGTACCGTATGTGGCTCGAATCTTGATCAACAAAGAACGAGTCAAATTACGTCAATCTTTAATTGAGTGAATCAAACATAGATGACATTTTTACATAACACTATTGGATCTGTCTATACTTCTATATTTTCTCGGGTGTGACTGAAAGCATATCTCAGCTTGCAAAAGTTACACAAATACAAAATAGAAACGAATGCTATTTGTAGATGATATACAATATTAGATTAATCGGGACGGCCAGAAAGGCATCAAAACACTTTGGAGGCACCACCTAACAGATATTTTGTATCCGTAGAACAGCATTCTTTCTAATGGAAATCTTCACTTGAACAAATCTTCGGTTTAGACTCCCTCGAAATTCCCAGTACATTGGCTCTTACGCCTGCCTCAACCGCGAGACAGAAGTGGACGAGAGTGAACACAGTTTACCGCTATAAACGCAGTACATGACAAGTACGAAGTGTAGATGATCGGGCAAGGAAAACCATGAACTTTAATCTCGTATTGTGAATCTATTGTTCAGTGATTGTGACTCAAACAGAACAAAATATCAATACAGGGGAGAGCACAGCTGTTAAGTTATACGAAGGTTACTATACATTCAGACTGTAAGGATAGAACTCAGTCGATGTCATTGGATGTGGGCGATGAATTTCTACGACTAGAAATGGGGTTTAAAGTAACGACAGCGGCAAAATATTGCCCGTTGGCCAGATGACTTTAGTGCTAAATTGCCTTCAAGAAGCACAGTGTTCGTGGTGCGTGATGCGTGGAATCCGATACGAATCACTAACACCTGCAGTGAAAGGTCTTCATTGAACTGGTCAAAAGGGGGTTATCCGCTTCGACCTGGTCGAATAGTTTGAGCGCATGAAAGTATGTATGAAGATTGGTGGAGAATATTCCGAGAAAATATAATGCTTATTCTTGTGTAACAAATAAAACGATTTGCTCAACCCTCACACACAAACACACACACATACATATATAATAATAATAATAATAATAATAATAATAATAATAAAACCCACTCATTCATCACGCACGCTGTCCTCGTCTCTATTTTCCAACAGATCTTAAGATAGACTACTGAACAGCTCAGCTGATGGAGCGTGCGCTGTACAAAAGCGTAGGCGGCGCCCATGCGTGGGTTCGAATCCCACCGAGGCTACTGAACTTTTCACAATCTCAGTTTAAGACTTCAATCTCCCAACCAACAATGTGAACGATAGGATAGTCACAAAAACCGCTATACTCATTATACTCTTTCAATTGTTGTAAATTAAAAAATTAAAAATATAGATAACTAAACAATCCATATAAAAAAACGATCAATAAAGTGTGTTTGGGTATTCTGATAAGGCTATCTCCAGTACATTCATTTGGAAAAAAATCACTGTGCACCATTAGATTGTATCTAAACAAGGAGCGAAGCGACCAGAAACTGCCCGAATTCCCTGGAAGACGGAGTAACACTTCAAGATGGATAAAATACGTCAAACGGACTGACCGTTTTAGGGGTGTACTTCAACAGATCGTCCGACTGATCGACCTGTAAGCTAGCATGCCACCAGTTCTCACGATTCTCCACCTGTGAATCGCCATCATCATCATCATCATCGAACGCGCCCGGTCGGAATGATCCACGCGCGGAATCACATGACATTTTTGACTCGTGCACCGGTTCGTATGAAGCAAAACGAAGCACGGGACTACTGGCAGGCGAGAATTTACCATTCGATAATGGTACATCGATCGCAAGTGAAGCTGGCCTGGGTGTATCGGGCTCACACATTTGCACGGCCGTCTCACAATCGATTTTTGACGGATTCTGGGGATCGGATGAGCAATTATCCGGACTCTCCTCGTCCTCACCATCGGCTGTTTTGCTGTCCGGATCTGTTTGGTTGGATTCCGTGTGAGGATAGTTCGGACCGAGGGGATTTTGGCTCAAATTCAACGATTCCAAATAGCGCAAACAACGAAGAAGTATGAAAATCTGGGGGAAGAAGCCACATGGAACAAGATGTCACATAAACCTGCTACTGATTCATATCCTGGTGCATGCGTGTGTGTGTGTGTGCATGTGTGTTTCAGACAGTGTGAAATACACCTTGCGGTGTAACAAAGACGTTACAATATGGTGTGGTCGGGACATGTGCTACGTATGTCACCAGATAGGTTGCCACGGCGCGCGACGTTTGTCGAGGCGGGTAAAGGTTGAAAAAAGATTAAGGGTGGTCAAACTAAGACCTGGAATGAGGGTATGAAAACCCCGACCAGGAGACTAGGTCACATAGATCCCGTTAGGCTCCCTGGCTGAGGACCCCGAGATCAAGGTGACCGAGGGTTAGAGACAATAAACGATATGGCTGGGTGTCGCAAACAGTGGCGCTCATGCATCTACTGATCATTCTTGTAAGAGTAACAGTCTATATGAATTATCCTCATCTTCCGCTTGAATTGGCTTTCAACATTCCAATTTTCAACCTTCTCTTTTATCCAAATGGACGGCTAAAAGAGGGCAACCAAAACCGGCGCACGAAAGTGCATGTCGACTACTTGCTCCAGTAAACGATCGTGACTACCTAAAACTCTTCGCCTAACCTCGGCATTGCTCATCCGGTTTCCCCACCAGACTCGTGCCATGCGACGTAGACAACGATGTTCGAAGGCTGATTAACATAAAATTTGGTGCTGATAAGTAAGAAAGAGTCATTAACGAATTATGCAAAAACAAGGGCGCGGAGGATTTTTATTTTAACATTTAAAAAAGAAGGCAATTAACTATAACCATTCAATATTCTGACAACCCCAGCCTATATGGTTTCTCTATCTTCACTGTGACTCTGCTCTCAATATTCCAATTTTCATTCTGCTCTTTAATCAAAATAGGCAGCAACACCAAAACCGGTGTATGAGGATGCATGGTTAATGATTGTAAAAACCCAACTAGACTGAACAACCATTGACTGATAAGTGTGTTCCTCCGCTTCAAAAATAAGTCAACAGTGTATTGGAAAAGGGTTGTTTGAATTGATCATTTGTTTTATTGCATCATTTGTGTTTTTATGATTGGTCCGTATAAAACTTTAATTTTGCAAACCGGCCAATTTGATTGGTTCAATACCATATACGTATAAACACCTGTGATTCCCTTCCCAAATGTAATTTGTATCCGGTGCATTTAGAAAAAGCATATCGAGAGCACTTCCTTAAGAACCGAATTTCGACAAACAGTTCCTCTCTTCTTCCGACCGTTAGGAAAATTCTTTGAACAATCCACCGGTACGTTCAATGTGAGCACGTCAAATCACACGTGAAGCGGTGAGGGCGATATTCTCGTTGTTATCAGCATTAATTTTGCTGGTCAAATTGATCCTTATAATGTAATACAGATTAAGCGAACCGCTTGCTTTCACGGAAATACTCTCCCATACAGTCTGACAGTTACACAACTAGGACTTACTCTTACGTCCGGAGATCCGTCCCTGAGGTCATCTGTCACAAATGCCGTCATCAGGTCACACACTCACTATAGTAGGCACCGAATATACATAGATTGATCAAGCATCATGAACAGTTTGTTGTACACTGAGAAAGAGTGAAAACACTCAGCTATATTATTTCTTATTGAATTCTCTAAATAGTTCTCTTTGGTGGATTCTCTTGTGGTAGTAGTAGTAGTTTTGAAATATAACTAGAACAATTTTAACAGGGATGGTGGTTTAGGTATTGCAAGAAATACAAATACAAACTGCTACATCATTCTCATCCCCGATTCAGCAAACGGTAGCCTTCAAAAATCGTAGAAAGTTCATCTAAAAGATTTCTCAAAACCAATGATGCTCTACTAATGAATGTGAATCAATTAGGGGTTCATACACTTCGTAAATTTTTTTACAGGAAACAAGCCGACAAACAACCTTCAAGAATCGAGGACTGAGAGATTTCCCACAGTTTTCAGAAACTTTGATAATGTGATCTGTCCTAAGTTACGTTCAGTGATTTGGCTGAGCGCTCCATGTTAGCCCGCTATCTACACTCGTGATCGGTTTTTTTTTGAGGTTCTCCTCAACCACAAAATGATACATGACGAAGTTCCATGTGTTTCTGACTGGACCAAAGATTGATCAGCCTTAGTGAGCCACATAATAACCACTCGTTAGACAGTAATCGTTTTTAATTTGAAAAATTTTGAAATTTAGTTTGTATGAAGTTACAAACTTGTAATGTGGAATGCAGTTATCGTGCGCGACGGGGAAAGAAACATGCAACTGTTACAGTCTCGAACGGAACCGTCAGCATTGTACATTCACTGAACTTGGATAACAAGTATTTGCAGCCTAAAACACTTACGACAATATGTAGGGTTTAATTTGAAATGATCCTTTATCGTGCTTCTCATTTTAAACTGTCAGTCAGCTCATGATTAGTTAGTTTTAATCCATCAAATGTATACACTAACCAAAGCGTTCAGTTCAGCTCAGCTCACTCCTTACAACCATGAACAATGCATTTTCGTGCGCCAGTTTTGGTTGCTGTCTTTTGGTTGCCCAATTTCGATAAAACATAAGAACGAAGAGTGGAATATTTAGAGCAAATTCAAGCGAAAGATAGCGTATTCATATAGACTGATGTCACATGAATACTGAGTAGATTATATTATTATTATTTCACACTTGTCTGAGACCAGACTGTGTGCCAACCAAATCATGGTACAATAATCGTTATGAAAAAGAAAAACGTTCCATGATTGGCTTGTGGGCTGAATACTGCCAGGTTGCCCAGGGCAAGCAGGTGAATTTTTTCTTGACGAATCCACAACCGGAGACTTCGGCTAGCGAAAGCCTGACCCGCAAGGCAGCGGGGCGGTGTGCGAAAACCGCAATTCATTGGGAGCCGGTGTCCAGTTCATCGGATCATACACCCCTTCGGACGGGGTCAAATGTCCAAGGTGCCCAATACACCTCTATGCTCAACTGAGCCGGTGACCAATACCACAACCGAAAAGGTGTGGATGTGGTTCTTACGCCTCCTCATGGTTGGTTTGGAATCACAGTTTTTGGCCNCCAACTCCCCTAGGTGAACTGCCAGTGGTCCACCAACCCGGCTATAGCCCGGGATATCGGCTGTTTGTCCTCTCACTTTGGTCGCAGTACATGGATAAGCGCTACTGTTTGCGTCCACTAGTGATATCATTCAGTATCTCTAACCACTGGTTACGACCATCCTGAGGTCCCCAGCTAGAAAGCCTGGTTAGGGTTTTATGCCCTTAGGTCTTAGTTTGACCGTCCTTGACCTTTTTCCAACCACTACCTTCCTCGGCAAACATCGTTCGCCGTGGCAACCTATCTGGTGACATGTGTAACACATTTCCCAACCAGCGTAATATATGGAGGTCGATCAATTGCTCTAGTGGACA